TTTTTTTAGGTTCGTTAGAAGAAGGCAGCAGGGTTCGCAGCTCATGTTCGTACAAGGGAATAGGCGCTTGCGCAGTGGTTCTCATCACACCATAAACTTTGGGTGGGTTGTATTGTTGTACAGGTGAAACACCGCGACTGCATGATGAATACATGGGGTTGTTGTTTGTGATGTGGTTACTCGACGGGAATGGCGCCAGCCTTGTTGATGGATCACAACTGCCAGGGCGTTTAAATGTGATTACTGACATCCATACACACATCCACACATACACACATACACACACACACAAAAAAAAAAAAGGTCATCTTAGATCCCAAAACCGAGACGCAGAGTTTGCCCACGTCTAGGAGGACGCACAAGCCAAAGATATTGAAGCTTAGGCGCGGTGACCAGAATAAGAAGCATACTGCCCCACAGACCACAGCTTGCAAAAGCTGATTGACAGAATCATGAACTAGGGTCAACTGGTGCTTTCAATCCAGCCTTTGATGCTAAATACGGATATGAGGCTGCTGGTAAAGGGTGTGGGTTAGAGCGGGCTGTCCGGTCCATCCCTACTTGCTAATAAAGGAATTGCTGGTCAGCGGACAGGCTAACAAGTTGGCGGGCAGGGTCCATTGTAACCATTCCATCACATAGCACAAACCAGTAAATTGGAATTTCTCTCACAACGCAGAATTAAAGGGAAGTGAATTTCGCTAGTTACCAAATCACTTTTATATTTTTGTGCGTTATTCTCAGATATTGAGTACAAATAGCCCTGGCTGTGACGTTCTGACAGGCGGCAGTAACGATTCGATATATTAACCCGCTAACAGCGAGCGCCAAATCGAGCAAGCTTGAGAGTTTGTCATCGCGTTGCGACCGCGTCTAGGTTTGTATTAAAATGGTTATCAATTTTATCCACCTGTTTTATTTTATAGCATGTTTGCAGTTTTTTCCACTGTCCAATGTTCGTGGAACGTTCGCAATATGTGAGCTCAATCCAAGGAAATTGCTTGAGTACCATGGGTATAAAACCGTCGCCCACAACCGCGTTCTTTCACGAGGTTCACAGCTTCAAGTTATTTTACGTGAAGAAATCACATATATTGATTTAAAACCTCCCATTCCTTAATGATAAACTGTCTAAGTACAACTTAAGATCAAACCCCCAGCTAAGTCCTATCGAAAATGGCTGATAAAGGGTCCGAAACCACAATGTCTGGCACGAAGTACGGAACTAGACCCATCTTATCGAGAGTATGGGCTCTAATGCTCCCAAATATTGGTAAAACTCATGGAGAGAATTGGGCAATCGGCATTTCGGACCTAGATGGTCGCAATTGGACCTGGTGGGAGATGGTCAGCAGTGAAAGTGGAGGGTTTGAGAGCAGAGAGACTCACTCCACGACTGCTCCTACAACAGTGGACAACAACGGCCTAATATATCTTGGGAAGATAGCACGTTTAGATGCGGTTCAGATAGGTTCTACGGTTATTTAGGAGGTAGGACAGAGGCCAGAGTGGTGGACCTGTCGAGAATTCGTTTTTGAAATATGGAACACATTATACGAAGATGATGTCGTAAATAAGGCTGAGCATGATTTCGGGCTGCGACAGCTGGTAAATGCTTTCAGTAGATAAATATATAATCATTTTTTGAAGTACGTGAATAAAATTTGAAGATAAAATCATTACGTACAGAAACAAGGCAAAATCTCGCATGTACGTAGTCGCATCCCAGTAGACACGAGGCCAACGGCATGAGCATTTTGCGGGTCAGGCGAGGAACTGGTCATTCTTGGTTTGACGTTTACGTCAATATTAACGCCGTGACAAATTCATGCAAGTAATATGCATGAACGCACTCCTCCTCTGTTGCCTAGAATCTGTTTAACTCATAAAATACGTGGGGGCACACCAAGGCTGTTGCGTGCGCCCTGAAAAACGGATACCAGACGTAGCGAGGACCAGCAACATACCGCAACCCCATGTAGGGCTGTATTTTGCTGCTGGAATAACATGATAAGTGGCCGAACAATACAACTTTCGAGCTCCATGCGGTATCTTTGGTTTCAATAAAACAAGCCTGCTTATGGACACCCAGGAAATATAAAAGCGCGGCTGGCCGCACGTCCCAGCACAATCTTTGTCTGGAAGCTCCTCATCAACCCCCCCCCCCCCCCCC